GGTGCGGGGCCGAGCGGGCAGCTGCTCCCACGCCCCCGGCTCCGCGGCGACCTGGGGGCGCGGGGCAGGCCCTCGGAAGGAGAACACGTCTCTCCCCGCGACGGCTGGCGGGGTCGGGAGGGAGGATGCCCAGGGCGTGGCCCGGGAACTTGGTAGGAAAGGTTTTGGGTTAAAACGCAGCCAGGCCCTGGCTGGTGTGGCGCGCTGGTCAGAGCGCAGGCCTGCGCCACCAGAGGTTCGGGGGTGTAAGTCCGGGCTCAAGGGTAGGTCCCTGGCGCGGCCGGGGGCGCCTGCGGGAGGCCACCAAGGCGCTCGCCCTGCTTTCTCTCTCCTCCCTTCCCCTCTCCCTCCTCCCTCCCCTCCACTCCCTAAAAATCAGTGGGAAAAACTATCCTCAGGTGAGGATGAGCAGAACTAAACACAGAGGCTGTCGGGGGCCCTGGAAGCGCTTAGGCCCGCTCGGGACATGACGGGAAAGGCATTTTACTTTTCATATTTTAAACTTTATTTTGGTGGTGTCGGGAGGAGGATGGGAGGGGTTGGTGCAGTGCCCGGCGTCCTTTGCAGCGCTCAGCGCTGCACTCGTGCTGATGGGCCTGGTGTTTTGGCCTCTCCGTTCGGGGGCCCTGTAATGAAAGCTGAAGCGTGGTGGCCATTGTGCCAGCCGAGACCAGAAAGTTGCGTGTCCGCAACCTCAAGACCACGCAGCCGGAAGTTTCCAGCCCCGAGAACTCCCTCACCGCCGGCGGAGGGGTGTCTGGCGGCCTCCCCCGTGGGCCTCCCAGCGGGAAGAGCGGCCCTTCGGTGGAAGCGCTGGAAAGTTCCCACGGGTTCAGCGCCTCTTCTCACGCTAAGGCCGGGGAAGGCTTTCTTTTTGTTTTTTAATCCTCGTCCGAGGATATTTTTTTCTATTGAATTTTAGAGAGAGTGCAAGGGAGAGGGAGAGACAGAGAAACATCGATGTGAGAGAGACAACATGGATTGGTGGTTGCTTCCTGCACGCGCCCGGACCAGGGCCGGGAGCCTGCCACCGCGGTAGGTGCCCTTGACGGGAATCGAACCCTTGGACCCTTCAGTCCGCAAGCCCATGCTGTGTCCACTGAGCCAAACCGGCTAGGGCGAGAGTGTTTTTTGTTGTTGTTGTTGTTGTTTTTAATTTTACTTTCTGGCGAGGATTGGCCAGGGAGTGGATCACCATACACATGGAAAATAGCGACCCTCTTGGAAAGCAGCCTCCCAAGGGCCGCGGAGAGTGCGCGCTGGACGCCCGAGGTGGCCCTGCCCGGGGTTGGACTCGGCCTCCTCCCGCGTCCGGTGTGTTTCACCGGGGCCCTGCGTGTCTTCGCTCCCCGCGGCCTGGCCTGCTGGGCTGGACGGAGGCGTCGCAGGGCCCGGAAGCCTACCCACCAGGCGGGGACGGCGGCAGCTAGGTCTTGTGCTGCGTCCCTCTCGGCTTCGGAGGGTTTTGTTCGCCTTGTTGAGTCCCAGACGCCCCGTGAGCAATCCGGAGTTTTCGGCCAGACCGGGGAGCCTGAGATACGGGCCCTCATCTCTCTCCCTGCACCCCGCACCCGCACCCGGCCCATCCGTCCTGCTGAGTAGAAACCAGCCCAAGTCACTGCCCAGTGGCGGGTCTTGGGCACCTTCAGCCCCACCTCCGGCCGCAGAGGACCCGGTGCTGTTTCAGGCTGGGCTCCCACCGTCTGCTACACCGGATTTCCTTCCTCCGGGCCGTCCCCCCACTTCTGGCTGCTGGTTGTGACTGGGGGTCCCCCCACTTCTGGCTGCTGGGTGTGACTGGGAGGACCCTAGCAAAGCAGCCCCGGAGGAAGCCGGGACCCATGTCCCCAGTGGGTGGCTTCGGACAGAGCTAGCTCCGTTGCCCTGGGATTATGGTGTGCTAATAAATTTGGAATCATTTTCACAGGGAATAGGAAAATTAAGTGCATTTAGGTCGGGGAGAGTTGCTGACACCCCTTTCCTTCTCTTTTCTCTTCAGGGCATTAATGACTATGTTTCTTGTGTTTACAGGACAAGAAGGGGCTTTCTGGGAAACAGAATAATTTCGAGCGCAAAGCCGTGTATCAGAGGCAAGTGAGGGCACCCAGTCTGCTGGCCAAAAGTATTTTAGAAGGTAAAGCAATGCAAAGTCATTCCTTTAGCCTTTAAAAGCAGGTTCTGAGTGATTCTCATCATTCTGGCTGGATGGTATTTTTGTTAACCTCTGAAGGAGTAATCTGAGGGGGACATACCTTTTATTAGAAGGTTTTGTTGGAGGAAGGAAATCAGGATGTGAGAAAATGAATCTCACACACCTCCTGTTGTTTTTGTCACTGATAATTTTGTTGGGTTAAGATGGAGTGCATATGAAATTTGCCCTAGTGTGAGTGGTGTGCAAAGATACACAGCCACATGATCCAGGGCAGATGTCCTGAAAGGAAATAAATTTAAAACAATTATTTTGTTGTTGGCGCTGAATAGAGTATGTCAAATAAGGAGTTTAACAGTACCCACACTAACAAAGACTTCTAGTCTGGGTGATCCAACTTCTGATTCCACTCTTTTTCATTTTACCATTTCCCTCCTGACTTATCTGTAATTGTGGTTATTCCACAGTTTATTATTTTGATAGGTGAGATTGTAGAATGAAACAAGTGAAGTTGAGATTGAATTTGAACAGTGTGAAATTTCTAACTCCATGTTTTCACTTTCTCTAAAGCCTGGGGATACATTAATTTTTCTTAAAATATTACTGATTTTTCAAAGCATCTCTGTTTGGGTCTGGAATTTATTTATTGATCTGATAAATAATATACTGACTACCTTTCACCATTTAAGGAAAAGAAAAGTTTATATTTGCTCTAATTATTGTCACATCAAGATTCAGGTTGAAAAGCAGATTTTTTTTTTAAAGTAGACATTTGAATTTTGTTTTTTCTTATGTGGCTTCTGAATTGAGTTTGTTCTGGACAGGCTTTAAACTTTGTTTATGTCTTACCCTGTGCTGTGTACTTCTGACCTTAGAATAGTTTCTGGTGCATTAAAAGTGAATTTGATTACAAACTAGCTAAACAAATTTTATAACCATAGGGACCACACTAATAAACTGAAATTGTGTCAATGCAATTTGAGAAGTGGGAGGATGAAGTGGAATAGTAAATTTAAGTAAATAACTTCCTGGCAAAAAACTTACTATAGAAAAGGAAACATTGATTTTCACATTTTATTTTATTTGCAAATGAGTACGATGGGTTTGTCACTATGTAAACACAAACATTACAATGGATCCTTCAAACAAATTTGATAGTGGCGAGTACTTGGGGATGATGAAAGCATTTTATGCTACCAGGAATTCTATTTATGTTGTTATACTGATTTTTGTTTTTGACTTCATAAAGTGTGCGATGACTTCATCTATGTTCTAATGATTGCATGTTCCACCATGTGGGATCTGGCCAACAGGATCAGTGCTTGGGAAAAACGACGTGTTAGTTATTTTCAATATAGCAGGGCATCTCAGTGCCTGGCCCCACTTTTGTTTGCTTGTTTGTACTAGTATAGTAGTCAGCGGCCTGGTTCAAAGTTCACTGAAGAATCTGACTAGTTAACAGCTCTTTAGTTTTCTGTGTTTCCCTGTTTCCTTATGTCTTTTCTGTTTTTTCTCCTCACTAATCTGCTCTAACTTTCTCTTTTTTCCTAGTTCTCCTTGGATTATTCTCCAACTGTTACAATGTACATAATGAGCCATCTTTAGAAACTAAAAGTGACATCAGCTCTAGGTATAGATATCTTTTTTAAATAATGGAATGAGATGATATGGATAGTAGTAAATCATTGATTGAAATAAGATCAGCAGCCTTGTCTCTTAATATGTAGCAGCCTGGGAAGAATATTAAAATTTCAGCCAGTAAAGTACACTTGTCAAGATAAACAAACACACTTATAACTACAAAAACAATAACAAAAAGTTTTACAACACACATATTCTTTCCCCCAAAGGGAACAATTTAAAATTGAACCAGTACTTTTGCTTTCTGTATAGAAATGTTAGTGATACAGAACTGTAAACACTTGTTCTGCCAATTTGCAGTGTTTCTGTTGCCTTCTGGGTTTCCAGATTTTTCTTTCCTAGATGTTAATCTCTTTCATATGCAATGCTTGCTTATTCTAGGCTACCGCCCCATACCAGCAGAGACTTATGTGGGAGGGAGCTTACCTCTACCTCCCCCAGTAAGTGACCGGATGAGGAAAAGGCGGGCCTTTGCTGATAAAGAGTTGGAGAACATTATGCTGGAGAGAGAATATAAAGAGAGGGAGATGTTGGAAGCTTCCCAAGCTGCTGCCTTGTTCCTGCCCAACCGCATGGTGCATGGACCTGAATACAACTACAAAAGTGCCTACAGCCCTACCCCGGTGGAACCACCAAGCAAAGACTTCTGTAATTTTTTGCCCACCTGTCTTGATCTAACCATGCAGTATTCAGGGTCTGGGAATATGGAACTAATTTCTTCAAATGTCAGTGTGGCCACGACTTACAGACAGTATCCTTTGTCCTCAAGATTTTTAGTTTGGCCCAAGTGTGGCCCCATTAGTGACACTCTCCTCTACCAGCAATGCCTGCTAAACACCACCACCTCAGTTCAGGCCCTGAAATCTGGGGCCAGCTGGGACTTGAAGGGAGTACAAGTCCAGGATGGACTCAGTGCCGAACACGACGTGATGCCACCCAAATTGGAAGGCTCTCTGGTGCTGCCTCACACTCCCGAGGTCCAGACCTCAAGAAGTGACCTTCAGGGTCACCAGGCTGTCCCTGAGAGGTCTGCGTTCTCCCCACCCCGACGGAATTTCTCTCCAGTTGTTGACACGGACTCCCTGGCAGCTCAAGGGCACATCTTAACCAAGATCAGCAAAGAAAGCACCAGGCACCCTCTGCCACTTAAACATAATCCATTCCACTCATTATTCCAGCAAACTCTTAATGACAAATCGGGTCCTGAGTTGAAAACACCATTTGTCAAAGAGGCCTTTGAAGAGGCCCCTAAGAAACACAGAGAGTGTTTAGTCAAGGAGAACCAGAAGTACACATTTACAATAGATAGATGCGCAAAAGACCTTTTTGTAGCCAAACAAGTTGGAACAAAACTCTCTGTGAATGAACCGCTGTCATTTTCTGTTGAGTCTATTCTCAAGAGGCCTTCATCTGCCATCACTCACATCTCTCAGTGAAAGCCTGCTGAAATGGAAAGCTGGATTTTCTGCAGTCTCAGAGGGTTCTTACCAGTTGCTAATTTTTTTTAAAGAAAAAAGTTGAGATGTTTGTATAAAGAAATTTCTAATGTAAATGATGGCGATTAAAAGATTTATATTCGTATGCATGTACTTCTCACCACATATTTAAACTTAAAGTTGGAAATTGCTTATGTGCAAATTGTAAAGTTTCACACTTTACACATTATCTCAAAAGCAATAAAATTGGCACTGCCTTATAAAAGACCCAGTATTTGCTGAAGTAAATAGTTGTCTCTGTGGTGAAAAAGCTAGTGTCTGTGAAATGTGATCTTTATTTTTCTATGATTCTTTGTATTTTCAAGTGTTCTTATTGTTTGCTGGGGGCCACAGGAGAACCCTTATAATGCCTTAGATTTTGCATTTTGGAGGGCATGTAAATATAGCTATTCAAGACTGAGGCAAAAATAGTTTTATGGAGAACATAGGGAAGATTTGCATGTTTATAGAATCGTAATTTTGTGTGAGTGGATAAAGTTGAATTAAATTGAAGAGAAATGAAGCTTAGTATCTTGTTCATATGATGAGATGGGTTCTTGGAACGGATCTCTTAACTCTCTGGGTCCAGTGTCCTTCCCTGATTGGGATGTGTATGTAGGGCCTCAAGCTTCCTTTTTCTATTGAACCTTCATTCTATGATTTTTGGTTGCTATGAGCCCAGAGCAGGTTCCCTTGTAAGGTGCAGCCATTTAAATCATGATGGTACGTGGTTGAACTGTCTCTGAGCTCTTGTGTTACTTCTGTTTCCTAAGGACTGGTGACAGCAGGCATTTAAAAGAAGGTCCAGGACTCTCAGCTGGTCCATGTGTCTCACATTTTCCACCAGTATGGAAGGTTTTCAATGTAGCTCTTTGCTGAGTTAAAAGCTCTTACTATTCAAATTGCTTCAGCTGCCAATTGCTTGAAGGCATCAGTTGTTTATCGCAGCATGGGGGTGGCTTATTGATTCTTAAACCTTTCCCCTCTGTTTCCTGCCCCCTCTGTTTTTTATGTTCATTATTACTCTCTTGTTTTGCTCAAAAAAAAGTTAACTGTTCTACATGATTGATAAAGTAAGAGTAAGATATTTATGAGAGTTATTAAATGTATCTCTGAAGACCTCATCTGTGGACCCCAAGTCAAGTTCTAAGATATTATAGTCATTTCAACACAAAATCAAGAGCCAAATATCTCACCTTTTAATTTTGCCTTGGAGTGAGTTTACTTTCAGCTCTGTTCTCATTTGGATAACAAGAACATTAGGTGGGTGTGTGGAATGTGCCAAGAAAGTCAGGAGTTTAAAGAGTTTCTTTCTTGCTCTGGAAAACATTTAAACTTATTTAGAAATGATTTTGCTACTGATGAGCTCATGTAAATCTCAAGGGGTTATCTGCATTGTTGCTTAAAATTAGCATTGGTTTCAAAAACAACAAGCCAAACCTTAGGTTGATTTTTCAGTTTGTTATTTGTAAAATAATACTTGGTTTTGTTGAGTCAAATTTACTTATTTTTTACTATTGCAAAAGCCAGAGCAAATGGAAGTTTGCCAGAGGAAAAGAAAATGAAAGCAGGCAGAGATCCCAATAACTGTTGAAGATTATCATTAAGTGGAAAAGTTATATCCAGGCATGAATGCCTTGGGGTCAGAGACAGACTCTCATTCTGCCACCGCCCCTCCCCCATCTTTCCTTTATCTATACCAGGGGTCCTCAAACTTTTTAAACAGGGGGCCAGTTCACTGTCCCTCAGACCGTTGGAGGGCCGGACTATAGTTTAAAAAAAAACTATGAACAAATTCCTATGCCCACTGCACATATCTTATTTTGAAGTAAAAAAACAAAACGGGAACAAATACAATATTTGTATTTGCATGTGGCCCGCGGGCCGTAGTTTGAGGACCCCTGATCTATAAAGTTATTTTTATCTTCCTATCAATCAGGAATTTATATTTTTGTCACATGTTAAATGTAAACTTAGCATCGAAATCTAACTACTACAAGGTAAGAGAGGAAAATAATAAATCCACATAAAGAAACCTCAAGGAAGAAGGCCTTCTTAATCCAAACATGGATTTTCTCTCTTTCTTACTCTATTGTAGCCTCTTGAATGCTTACATTTGTCAATTATATCCTTCTTGTGTTCAATGAACATTTCAGGGTGTCATTTCTGTCCTCTCTCTATATCATTTTAATCTCATTAGGTGAATCCCAGTTGGCTATGAGTATTAGTGGTTTTCCTCACATTACCAGTGTCTAGAACTTTATACCTCTTGAACATTTATGAGGGTTAATACTTTCCTTGGTGATTTTATTTTCATACCATGCATCAATTGTATTGTAATGGTGAGTTCTCTGAATTTCAAACCTACCAGCTCTACCATCAGCCACTCAATGAGACTTTTGTGCTTGGCTTTTTGTTTCTTTTAATCATTTTGCTTCCATAAAAGTTACTATTTGACTATAGTCTTCAAAGGACACTGTCATCGACATATTAAATCAAACTTGTGCTTCAATTTAAGCATTTTCTATGTTTAAGGCAATAAATGGATGTGGCTTTAATCATTTTTAAGAATGTAAAAAAGCCCTAGCCGGTTTGGCTCAGTGGATAGAGCATTGGCCTGTGGACCAAAGGGTCCCAGGTTCGATTCTGGTCAAGGGCACATACCTGGGTTGCGGGCTCAGTCCATTGTGCAGGAGGCAGCCAATCATTGATTCCCTCTCATCACTGATGTTTCTCTCTCTTCCTCTCCCTCTCTGAAATCAATAAAAATACATTAAAAAAAAGAACGTAAAAAAAATAGTCTGGCTGATGTGGATCAGAGGTTGAGCATCGACACATGAACCAGGAGGTCATGGTTCGATTCCCAGTCACAGCACATGTCTGGGTTTTGAGCTTGATCCCCAGGTAGGGAGGCGTGCAGGAGGAGCCAATTGATGATTTTATCTCTCCCTCTTCCTCTCTGAAATCAGTTTTTTTAAAAGTATATAAAAAGAATGCATTGAGTAGTAAAACATGGACTCTTTTCTCAATTTAACTCCTAATACAATAATGCAACTTTAATGACATTTTCCTTCAATCTCAACTGATCTAGCATTATTTTTTTGCTCAATTTGCAGTTCTGAATAGTTAATAGTAGTTTATAGTTAATTTAAAAAGTTCCCTTTCTTCTAACCTTTGGTAGCAGAAATTGGAATAAACCTAGGCAAAGTCATAAAGTAGTAAAGTTGTTTGCCTTATCTTTTTTAAAAAACGTAGTTCTTTTTTAAAAAATACGTTTTTATTGATTTCAGACAGAGAAAGTGAGAGGGAGAGAGAGATAGAAACATCAATGATGAGAGAATCATTGATCGGCTGCCTCCTGCATGCCTCCTACTGGGGATCGAGCCTGAAACCTGGGCATGTGCCCTGACCTGGAATTGAACCATGATCTCTTGGTTCATAGGTTGAGCTCAACCACTGAGCAATACCAGTCAGGTTAAAAATATAATACACATTTTTAATTGTGATAAAATCCAAATGACATAAAATTTACCATATTCACATTGTTGTGCAACAATTACAACTATGCATTCACAGAACTCTTTTTATCTTGCAAAACTGAAACTCTGTTAAACATTAAACAATTCCTTCCTCCTCCCAGTCCCTGGCAACCTTTCTGCCTATAAATTCAACTACTTTAGGTAGCTTGTATAAGTGGAATCATACTGTATTTGTCTTTTTGTGACTGGCTTATTTCACTTAGAATAATGTCTTCAAGGTTTCTTGATATTGTAGAATATGTCAGAATTTTCATCCTTTAAAGACTGAATGCTATTCCATTGTATGTGTATATCATATTTTGTTTACCCATCGTCTGTTGAGGTGCTTTTACCTGTTGGCTATTGAGAGTAATGCTGCTGCTATAAACATGGGTGTACAAATATCTCTTCACCTAGTCCCCACTTCCTGATTTCACTCTTTTTCCATCTTCAGGAACTCACTTTTCTCAAGTATACATACTTCCCTCCCACACTATCCCCACACCCCCAACATCTTCACTCCTCACCCCGGCAGCACCACTCTGCCCAATATCAGTTGTGTACCTTTTAATGGGAGTTTGAATGTGTTTTTACACCATCTGCATTTAAAAGCTTAATTCTAATTGTGGAATGAAAGACTTGTACTAACTTGTTTTAAGAAACTTCCTGGAATTCCTTCTACAAAGTCTTAGCAGTGTAAAGAGCAACTAAATGGCTGAAGGTCAAGATGAAGGAAGAAGACTCCACAATTCCCTGTAGAATAATAAAGACATCACTTAGCATTGAGGTTGGGGTTTTCAGTCCGTACTAGAATTCTTACTGTACCACCTATTTTATTTATTTTTGGATTAACTTTCTTTGTTCCTATTCCTAGGTCTGGAGGCTCAGGCTTATTTTCTTCTGGGGTCCACTTTGTAGGGCTGATAGTTCTTGAGATGGCTGGAGGCTGCAATATATAAACATGGGTTTGTGGCACCCACTTATATTTATTTTAATGATTGTACCAAGCTCTTATAATATCTATCCCCCTTAGTTATTTTGGTTTTTAATTTGTTATATCTAAACACATTTAGGGCATGCTAGACACCTGAAATAGGTTGGTCTGATATAATGATAAATATATCATAATAATAATTAACATGGTTAGTGCCTGCTAATACAAAACATTCATACTCACCTCTTTTATTCCTCATATAAATTCTATGTAAAGTTGGCAAATGGCCATATCAAGAATTGAATCTACATCTCTCTGTGTGTGTACATGGGAGATTTTTTCCCAAAATAAATGACTTGATATGGCCTAATCCGTCTCTAAGAGTTTGTATGTAAATGTTAAGTGCATCAAATTCTCATATATAATATATGTAATGAATTACACATGTATAATGTTACCTGTGTGACAAGTCCTTGTAGAAACATTTATCTACCTTAATTTCATAAAGTCACACACACACACACTCTCATGGAGTTATGAAAACAGTTGAGATAAAGAATGAAAAGGGAACCTACTGGGGAAGGACAACTGACTGACAGTCCTAGCTCTCACACCTTCGGATCCACTGTTTATACCAAGGCCACACTTTCCCTGGACTGCTTGCAGCAAATGACAGAGTAGAGCCGGGTTGATAGAATGAGACTCCTCTAATAGGCATCCTTGACTGGGGGACTACCCATCCAGGTATTTTGTCATGGATGTTTTAGGA